TTCATTTTTGGTCATAATCTTATGCTAGAGATAGAAGCCATCTGAAGATTTGCAATGGCAATATCGCTCAGAATATGGATCGGGATTTCTGTTGCAATCATATTAGTTAACATCTATTTCCGATTCCGAGGTTTGGCATGATGTTTAAATTTTCGTTTACACGCAATAGTATTGTCAACTCACCCTTGAGATCAGCTGCCAGTAATATTGTTATATGCACAATAAGTTAAAACTCGTTTTTTGGTAAAGTAGTCATGGCTTATAGCATCGCCATATGATAGTGAGATTGGTACCGATTATGCCATATGGATGCAACAGCTTTGGTACACCACCAGAGACGTGGTGTGGTCTACCAGAATGAGATGGATGGATTGTTCAAACGAATAGATGCGAATGCGGATTAGTATCCTTTGTGGAAGTGTACCAAATTGCTAAACAAACACTCACAACAAGGACAGAAATTCCCCGTCCTATATCTAGTTTGATACAAACGATCAATCTCGACCTCCAGTAGTTAATCAAGCAAACTTTCAGTTGAGTAAACAAGGTTAACTTTCATCAGACGATTTCTTATATTTAAATTCTGTATTCCAAAGAATAAATCAGTGGACACGAACATATTGATTAGTGTTATACCCACACATGTTTAGAGATATATTTAGAGTATATTGCGTTTGGACAATATTACTTTGCTCTCCATGCTAAGAACTATTTTAATTTGCCTGAAGTTCAGACACTGGTTAGGGTATCATAAAATGTGTGAAGCTATTTATGACTGGGTTACATTAGTGAACTGGCTAACCAGCTAACCAGTAGTTATTACAACTTTATTCAGGTTGCAGAAATGTTAATGTTGAGTATGTCTTTATGTTGATGTGTGATTTTTAACCAGGTATTTATCTAAGAATATGTTATTTCTTATCCCCCATAATGAATAGGCAATATATTGTTCTTTGCGTCTCATATATTTTATATTAATATCAATTTATTTAGAAAGATACAGATCGAAAACCATGGCCATATGGAAATTGTACCCATGGACAGACCGAACCCACAGTATCTGGCCAGCAGCATAATACTTCATACTCTATACTTGTAAGAATTATCACTTACCATGTGTTCAATTCCTGTTCTGACTGTTTTATTTGTAACATTTTCATACACTATAAAATATATTAATTTTACACTGTGCGATTTGTATATATGTTTATTGTTTATATTAAACAATTAAACATATTATGTATATATATATATATAAATTTAATTTGTTGTTTTTTGTCCTTATTATAGTCATGTGAGAAGGCATGCTCAGAAAATGCATTAATACACTACTGTGGTTGTGCTGAGTATTTATTTACCGACGCACCACGATGTCAACTTTTAAACGAAACACAAGGTATACTATGTGTAGCTAGCGCACATGTTATGTCGTGCGTGTATTATGGGGGTTTGACAAAACAATAAAATACGCATATGTGTTTGAATATATGCACAAATTCTAACACAACAAGCAAAGTAGAATATTTTTTAAATTTATGTTCTATACACTAGATAATTTAATTTATGCAAATAATAAGTGCAAATTCATTATCATCATATACATTTGTTCACGAGTTATAATGCCGTATCATGTTGTACTTAAACAGATTTATGTCGGCAATTAACCAGATATTTAACTAATATTGGTGAGATTAATTGTAAATGCCCTTCGCCATGCAAGTGAGTATCACAATCTAAACGCTTATATACGTGGCCGCATGAAGGCAGTATTCGCCATTCAATGTTAAACATGCTTGCGTTACTTGGCATGTGTTTTGCATGCGATTAATTGGATGTTTTACTTGTTTAACAATACAAAATCAAACCAAATGACCCACTTTCACAATATCATGCAAACATATAATTTGCCAAAATATCAGTGATTTTACATTACTAATGCTATCTGATAATGTATATTGCACAGAGACGTTACATGTTTAATGTTAGCCGAATACGATGCTACGCTTTGGTTGTTTTTTAAAAGCAAATAACGTATGTTTACATTACTTTTTCAGAGAAACCAATTATGGTATGACCTTATCCCAGTCCCAATGGCCTTCTGATGTATATCTTGTAGGTTACTTTATATAATTATGTACATACTAATAATTATCATGTGAATGATTATGTATGTAACTATATAAAGAACGCATTTTGTTATTTTGTACAGAACAAGCTTCTAAAAATGTTAAAATGGAAGAATTTCAAGTTGAAGAATGTTAACGACATGCAATCTGCTAGGTAATAAACGTTTACTATGATACATCAACATAATCAAGTTGCATAATGTTATATAGTATTGATGTGACATAACGATGATGGAGTTCATTATACAGTAACATTTGTAAATTCTGCTTTTATTAATTTGGTATTTAATCATTATTAATTGCGCCATGATATGTGTAAATGATACTAACATATATTACGTCCCGCAGATCAAACCTGGTGAGATTAGAAATATACTTTGAAACACTAAACTATGAATCAGTATACGAACAACCTGCGTATAAGGTAATATTTTTATATAATATGACCATCGAACTTGCTGTATTTCCTAACTAACTGTCCGGATTACGTGTGAATGGACACGTGATTTCAGTGTTGTTTGCTATGCACAAACAATTAATTATCGCCAGTGATTAATTCATATACTCATATTTCAGTGGGAAGACATTCTCAGTGACATTGGAGGGACAATGGGGCTTTATATCGGCATATCAATTATATCCATCTGTGAATTTGTGAGTTTTATCGTATTACTTTGCTGGAAATTTCCCAAGAAGGAAACTGTACAACCACGCGCTGGGGAACAAGAACAATTAATACCACATTAACAGTAACAACAAATAAGACTTGTGCAGTGTATCATAGTTATCTTCTGAAAACAACATGATTAATTCAATTTAGTGATGTAATTTATTAGGACTAAGCTACTTTACATTTACATAGTGGACTGCCTAGTATATAATTTACATAACTATGCATAACATATTAGTATAAATGTTGCAAACTATGAAGTTATAAAAGTTTGAAATGTATGCGTTCAATAATTAGCACGTTCAACTTCAACTTCAGATTTTGTTCTTTTGTCTGAAATAAAAATAACAATACATTGACGTGACTTTGGAAAGATGCATCAATATTTGTTGTCTGGTCTGTCGGGAGATTATCAACAAATACTGAATTGTACTAGAACTAAAATTCCAGTATTTAGTCAATATCATTATATTACATATTATAACACATAGAGATTATTATGTTTTAATCAAAACCTGTTCTTATCAACTTGTGTCATTTATTGATTTTAGTCCAGCAGCCAAATAGAATATTTCAGCCCAACCTGGAATTTTCTGATATATATATTTTTCTGTGATGATTTTAGTGTCAATGTAATGATATTTAGGTGAATTTGACACGGAAAAGCATTTAATAAATCTAAGATGGCGTCTAAAATGACCACCGAATCAGAAAAAGTATATTATTTTATTAGTCTGTATTAAATCTGTGGATATGTGTTTTGGGTATCAGGTGAATACATATGGGAGAACGAGCTATAGATAAATTCACTAATAGTAGAGAACAATGGGAGAACATTTAATATATTCATGACTGAAAACCAAGACAAGTGCTCCAGTAAAAGTGTAATTCATAGTGTAATTGATATGTATTATATAATATAAACATCTTCCAGATTAATATAAATATGTGTCAATTATATTATTGTCTTCTACATAACATACATACATTTATGATGTTTGTTTGGTATCCATCTTTATTACCATCATTTTATAAAATATAGCAAAATAAATTTCAGAATG